CCATCCCTACATATAGAGTGCTAGTGCACTCTCCGATCACAACAACTTAAAACTTAATCAAGTTTAAAAATTTAGATTACCCTACCAATTTTCTGCTCGATCCTCTTGTTATTTAGCGGACGTATCTGATACTTGCGGGAAAATCAGTTTACCTGAAAATGCTACATAGCCCTCCTCTGAACGCTCTCCAGAAATTTAGTATTCTTTCTTAGAAATTGAAACTTGCTTTCATCATATATCGGACTGTTGATTATAATAATTTCTTTATTTCAAAAGCCAAATTCAAATAAAACGTTTTAAAAGAAATGAAGGCGATGTGCAACAAAATGTTTATACAATAATAATAAGCTCCTTGTTTGTTACGATTGTCGTAGTTCTGCCAATCGATTTAACGATCGAGGTACTTCATCCATGCATGATCCAGGGCCTATAGTATTACGTCACTTAATGATACTTTGTTACTGAACATGGCGAAAGCGAGAATGAGGAGTAGTACTAGTAATGTTCTGACGTTTGAAATTTTCAGGTGGAATTGGACATTGTATGCAAAGGTATACTTTTTCTTTATATCTTATGCTTGAACGAAACATAATGGTTGTTCGATATTGCATTGACAAAAGTATAAATTGTGTATAGATGAAGTTGTTTTCAGACATGTCAACATGTTATAACTATTTGTAAGTTATAGTTATATTGTCAGCCTTTTTATTTTTAACTTAATTTAATTTTAAACTTGCTACTTTTTCATTACATTTTTATTTTTAAATGCTGACCTCAGTTTATAAATATAAGCACAAAAATAGGCGAATTAACACAGTAAGGTTTAACAGTAACAAGTAAGTTTACAAACAGTATGCTAAAGTCATGCTAGCGCTAGTAATACTACTAGTACTAGCATTTTAATTCTGTTATGTACGTAAACTTCGTTTTATGTCTGTTACTGTTAGTTTTTATTAACTGTACAAAATATGTAGGTCTATGCATCAATGAAATATTTTGGAAATATGAATTTTGTCATAATACTATAGCTTGGGAATTTTACTAAGCACTGAAGGTAGTGAAATCTTGTATTTGTTGTTTGTTTACAACTACATTTTACAGACTTCAGGCACTGATCAGTTCCACATTAATCATTTTCACTAATAACAGTCATTTTGTCACTGATTATAACATGAATAACAAGAAGCCACTTGGTCCTACAAATCTGTCACTGCATACCCATTTTGACAAAATATGAAAACTTACATTTATTTTTAAGAAGATTGAGTCCCCTTTTATAAACTCTTGTAAAGTGGTGGCCTACACTACTGCTGATGGCTACTCATTCTATAATCAGTTATGCTTTTATAAAAATAAAAATGTCTTAACTTGAACCAGTCTGGCCTGTCTTATCCAAATGTTAAACCTGTGTTCTCTCATCTTATTGTCTTCAAAGTACAGCACAAAGAAAACAGAAGCCTTTATCTAATCCATTACCTGGGTAATTGTGTAAGCTTAAATAAGGTCACATATTACTTTGTTTTTCTCAAGAAATAATAAGTTGAGAGATCCTAACCAATCCCGATAACTTGTCCATCTTTAGAATTATCCTATTAGTAGTAGGCTTTCTCTAAACCATTATCAGTATCCTTTCTTACCTAAGGAGAACAGAAGTCTACATAGTATTTCAAAAGATATGTAATTTGTATGAATATATTATTATAACCTTTGACATGTAATCAGCATGTTTATAAATACACTAAAATTCTTTGAGCTTTGCTACTAGCAACAGAGCATTGTCTTGAGGGCCTAAGTGACTTATTTACCACTATGTCAAAATCATTTTCTTAAGTCATACTTTTGAGTAGGTTCCCATATACATTAAATCTGTGATTAAAATTATGATAACCCAAATGCATTTACTATAAGCATTCTGTAATTCTTCATCATCCTCAATACAACTAGAAATGTCAAAAACATTAATGTCATATGTAATCTTTATTAATTTATTAATCATGTCCCTATCAATAATATAAATGTAAGTAAGAAAAAGCTAAGGATACTTATCCTTGAGACACTCCACAAGTAATACATTTTACTGGACTCCATTAGTAACAGCCCTTTACCTTCTATCATCCAGCCACTTTATGTCCCCCAACCCCATTAGTGTTCTGTTTAGCACCTTGTTATGTGCTTTTTTGAAAACCTCTGTATACTAATTCTGCACCCTTTAAATCATTTAGATAAAAAGTGACATCTTCAAATGAAGTTAACCAGTTAGTAAGGGGAGAATTTCCTTTAGTGAATCATGTTGATTTTCCTTCATGGTATATTTCACTAGATGATTTTGTAATTTGTTTTTAATCAGACACTACAAATGTTTTTCTACTGTAAAAACAAATCTGTAATTTCCTGGGCAACTCTTATCACTCACTTTAAAAGTAAGATTAACATAAGCATCTCAGCCTCTTGTCTGCTTTCTCTTGACCTACCTAAAATTTAATGGGAATAACCATAGAAGCCATCTGAGCAATGCGCTCTGCCTGGTTGTAGAGCAAATAGGATTTTAGGTTGTCTCAACTGAAACATGGAACACAAATCGAAATAAGCTATAATTTCATTGTATAGGTCATTGGTTAGGTATTATTTAGAGTACTGTGTTCAGTCTTGGACTCTTTACCTTTAGAAGGACATTGAATTGTTGGAAAAGGTTCCGAGGAAGACTACAAGAATGATGTCTGGGATGAAAATGTTGTCATGCAAGGACAGGTTAATAAGATCTTTGAGAATGTTTTCTCTTGAAAAAATAGAAGAGTTAAGAGAGATCTGATTGCAGTGTTGTTAAGAGAACTGATAGTGTCAATGCATTATATTTTTTTTTGTACTTAATGGTGAGAATAGTAGGACTAGGAGATGTAAATTTTGGCAGGGCTGGAGCCATCTTCAGCCGAGACAGTTCTATTTTTCTAACAGGGTTGATAGCCTTTGGAATGGGTTGCTTTCAGATGTGGTTGATTTATTTAATATAAGGTTGATTAAGAGAAGGCTTGATAAATAAATATATATTTCTACATTTAATTTAGTGGATAGGATAGTCTAGATGGACCAATAGGTCCCTTGTATTCCTTAACTTTTTGTTATATATTAAAGAGAGTGAGGCTTGTATATCTGATCCTTGACATCTTTTAAAACCCTTTTCCAAGGAAGTAGGCTATACAAAATCTTTGAGGTACAGACTTCAAACTTTCTGGAAATTTGAAGAAGTAGGGAGAGGTGAAATTGAGCCAAAGCTCATTGTATTTGAATCCCTGGTGGATGCACTATCATGTATTTTTGCCTCACTGTTTCTTTACAGAGGTGAATAAAAATAACATACCCATCTCGGTGAATCTAATGCTGGCATCAGAGATAGAGTACACAAGGTTTTTTTTTTTTTTTTAGGCATGTGTACATTGATATGATGCTGGTCTTAAACTTGAACAAGATGTTCCGTTGATGATAAAACTTGGTAAATTAAAATAAATAACACATTTCATGATCACCACACCTACAATGTACTGAAATTCAAAATGGAAGATGACTGATATGATAATGCTCCTGTCAGTTATACAGTAGAATATTTGAGTCCCTGTAAAAATCCTGAACAAATCCTTCAGCACTTACTATGAATGTGTGTACAAAGAACTATTCTACAACCCTTGTCTGGTCCTGGTACCTTATCTATTTTAACTTATCAATCTTACTTTTTTAAAACCAATTAATTTATATGTATGTGATTAAGGTGAATCCCAGGATTTCCAATGGAATGATCAGGATAAGAAATATTGCTAACATACTGTCTTATAAAAACAGAAGAGAAGAAAATGTTTAAAAATTCAGCCATTTTGTACATTGTAGTTTTCAACATTACTCTCCCCATTAGCATTCCTTAAGTGACCCCATTTCAATATATTGGTTGCCTTCAACATTCTTATAGAAATTCTTACTGTTACTTTTAAAATTATCAGCTAGCTTTTGGATTTTTGTAGCTGTTTTTTAAAACCAAATTCTTAACTTTCCTATAGTTTTGTAAATCTTTAATCTTATTTGTCAATTTAAGCTTATTCCCTCTGCTCAGAGTTCCCTTTGAGCAACCAAACTTATTTTCATATATTTTTGGTATTTTTATTTAAAGTTCATAGGTAAATTTGTATTCCCATCACATAGAGAGGATTGAAACCATCAATATATTCCTATAAAGGAATACTGAAGTTTAATAATTTTTTCGTACCCAATTAATTTATGCTCTGTACATCAGAAGAAAGTATACTAAATACCTTTTTAAAACTAATGCATGAATTGTTCTAATTGTGTTTTGCTTTGAAATATAAGTAGGATGTAAATTGGCAAATTAGAAAGCCTAGCTTTTCAACATTTTGGTAGAATCATAAACTTTATAAAAAAATTAAGCACTTCTGATAAAACCTTAGGCCATGAAACATTACTCTTAGATAATTCAAATGATATCAGTAACTAATCTCAAAACAAAACTTGCCTGATAACCAGAATACATTATGTTCTCATATTAGCAGGAAAAAGATTAAATCTCTTAATCTTATGGTATTTATCCATGGTTTTCTCTGTTATGTCTTTAAAAAGCAAGTTAGGTTTGATCTTACCTGTTATCCTTTTATTCTTACCAAGAACATACATATCTTGAATTAAAAGCAATTTATTGTTTAAAATTTCTCAAGTCTGTACCATATCTTTTAACTCCTTATCTCAATTCACTAATGCTATAGTTTGCCTTATAACCTCAAAATTGGATTTTTGAAAGTTAGGATATTAACTTTATTTTTATCTCAACAGGTAGCAAAACAACAAGCCTAATTTTGTATTTATCATTTTTCCAAAAATGTTCCCCTTCGATCTCAACTATTACAACCCCATCCTCATTAGTGGTTAACAGTAAATGTAAATTGGCATTCCCTCTGGTTGACTCTAATGATTTCATGAAAACTATCTTGAATCAATTTAAGAAACTTCTCTTCTTCACTTCTTGAGTCCATACAATTTCAATCATTTTGTCAGACATAAAATTGGTCTTCCATAATTATTGCATCAGTGTCATTATTAGTAATAACCATAATGTCATTATATCATTTCCCATTGACATCATCTGTCTTATCAGTATAACTTTATACCTATGAAACTTCTGATTGTAATCCATACAGTTTAGGTTCAAACTCTTGACTACCATTTTTTATTTACATTCCTGACAAGATGCAGTTCATCTATTTTGTAAAGAGCCACTATACCCCCTCTATACAAATGATTATCTTTATTAAATAACTTTTAAATCTGGAGTTTCAAAAAATTACAATTTTCAGTATTCTACTAATGTAAGAAAGTTTCAGTAAATCTTGTTATATCTTAGTCTTCCATTTCTCCTTGAGCCCAGAACTCATCCAATTTGCTTTTGATACTTCTAAAATTAGAATCATTGCAACTAACTTAGTATTTAAATCAGATACATGTTTTTAAAAATATTATATATTTTTAATCTATGTCTTTTTTTTACTTACAGCCAAAG